CTTAAAACAGACAAGAAAACTGAGTAAGCAAAACAAGAATCAATACAAAACTTCTGTGTCAGTCTGTATCTGTATGTCCTAAAGGGAAAGTTGCATGCTATTAAATGGAAAAGCAAATATTTCTGAGTTTCCCACCATACTTACATGAGAAATTGTTTAATCTTGCTCCGTTTTGGTATTTTGGCTTCCCTGGGTGTGCAGAAATTGGGTGGCTATGCTGGGAAATCCCCCAGAGCCAGCTGCTCCATTATCCTCAGGAGAAGGAGATGACAGGGGACATGGGTGATGATGTACCGCTGAAATCAACTTGCACAGCCTCACCAGCACCAGCCTGGCTTTCTCTCTTGACTTGAGCCAAACAGGTAGGAGAGCTTCTTGTCTCCTGCAGGATGGTTGTCCCAGATCGGCTGCTCTAGGTTATAATAGTGAAAGAGTATATAAATGAAAGGTTTTGTTTTCATTACAATCAATGATAATGATAAAAATCCCACAGCATTTTACTGGCTTTCAAGCCCCTGTGCAACATCAGCCATTAAATCTGAACATGAATAGCTGGCGCTGTTCACTCAGGAGCAAGTGGTAATATTAAAATTATTTCAAGAATGCACTGACTGCTGCTGGTGTCCAGTGATGGGAAACTGAGGTCCTGACATGCTGGGGGGTGACCTGCTCCCAGAGCCCTCTTTCTTAGAGGCACTTAAGACTGAGGCAGGTAGCACTGCCACCTATGAAAACAAATTTCCCCAAAGATCCACTTAAGGCACTTGGCTGTTGTGATCAGGTAAGCCTGAAATAAAACTTGCCATGGTAGAAGGAAACCAGCTGAGTAAGAAGCTTGTTATTAAAGGCTTATCACTAATAGGACTTTTCACATGGCAGTAAAGTGGTAAAACTGAATATGGCAAAAGCATCTATTTCTAGTTGGGTGGTATCCTTAGGAGAGGAGAAGGGAAAAAAGGAGAGAGATCTAGGAGGAAAGATTAACCTCAAAACACATAGAATAAAGCAGTCTATAGCAAAGCACTGACTGATGCAGTCTGCTCAAAAAAAAATATTTGGCAAAGTGTATATAATGAGTTCTTCACGCTCCTAACATTTCCTTTTTATTATTTAGAGAACAAGTAGAATTTAAAGGAAAAAAAAAATCTGCCTTTACAACATTCTAATCATTTATAAGAGGCAAATTACAATTAAAACCAGCTCATAAAATTGCAGGAAGAACTGATGAAAAAACTCACATCAATCACTAAACCCAACCCTTGCCAGTACAGAGCTGCAGCATGTATTATACTAGCATTTTCATTCAGTCAAGTTTTAGAGCCGACTTGATATACTCTCTTTACATCTGGGGTTTTCTTCTATTGCCATTCCAGTTCTTTGGAGTCGCAACCTGTTAATATTCTACTTGTTCCATGGGAAACGATATGCATATTAAGGATCCAAATACAAAGCACATTTCTCTCTGCGTTCAGTGTAACCTGGCTAGACAGTACAGTTGGCAGACACCAGATGGTTGATTGGAGTCTCTAGCCAATCTCTGCAATTGCCGAAGCCTTAAGGACAAAACAACACCAGGGAGATGGATTTGATATGATCATGAATCACTTCTGGGACCACAGCAGATAAGTTAAGATAGGAGTCATGCGGGTCACCTTCTCGAAGCTCCTTCTGGTACCAAGTGCAAACAGAGACAAGAGAAGATTTATATCAGAGGGAAAACGATGATGGATGTTGTTAGCGGAGTTGTAAGGCGTATTTGGGATTTACTGAACATCTTCACACAACGCTTTGAAAAGATCGACTAGCAGAAGCGTATGAGCTTTTCAGAATCAAAATAGGCAAATCTTGAGGTGGAAATAAGGAAAATGAATGGTTCTGCTTCATTTAAATGATATAGCAAGTACTTCTAACAGAGTATCAGATGGATGTTCAGAAATACAGAATGAGGGATGAGAATGATGAAAATGTCCCCATGAAAACTAGGTGGTTATTATTAAAAAATCTCCTTGAGCAGCCATTCAAATTATAAAATGAATTTCCTGCAGCTGTACTTGCATCACTTCTTCCACTTTTCATAAATTCTTGAGCAACTGATTTTTTTATATACAAGATTTCATGGATAGGAGCAAGCATTAAGTCTGCACGCTCTAGAGCCTTATGAGTTTCCACTATAAAGCATACTATTTGTGCAAGAAACAGTTTGTACAAACAGAAGAACCTTGGTTAGCAATCAGAGCAGATTTCAGTGGGTATTTTATGACCCAAAGAAGACTCTGTATCTACAGGTATTCTTGTACACAATCATTTTTTGTCATTAGGACAAAAGGAAAATCAAATTTATATGACAGATTTTGCCAAGAAATTTATAGTAACATTTTTTGTATGTTTGATGCCTTGGACCAGATTTTTAAAGCTCAGAGAATGTTTTCTTTCTTCCTTTCTTTTTTTTAAGTATCTATTTGCTAGGCACAAAAGTGCTCCTGTCCTCATTACAGAATATGTACTTCAAATTAAAATTACAGCTAATATTCTGGGGTTTGCTTTACTGAAAGAATACGCAGTTCAAGTACAGGCTATCTGATAGAATGCTTAATGTCAGACAACAGAGTAGAGCTTTATTTACAAAGTAAAAAGACTGACCTTGACTGAAGAGCAAGTGATTTGTTCTGCATTGCTGGATAAATGAACTCTGAAATTAAGGAGATCATAAAATGATCACTGCACAGAAACAAATGTCAAAAGAAAAGTAGATGCTGGATGCTCCTACATTTTCTTTTGCTCTAATTTTGGTACTTCCTCTGTGTGACAGCTTGAAGGGGTTTGCTACAGAGGGCTGAGTGAATTGCTGTGGGCACAGCTGTTTTGTGCTTATTGTACTGTATCTGGAATTTCCTCCTTCACTGCTTCCTATTGTGTACACGCTCAGGAAAAAATGCACCTTTCACTTTCAGAACATTACATTTTTTCCACTTTATTCCTTACTGAATCACCAGAGATAGAGTATACCAGTCTTCCTTGAGGTTAGCGTGGTCTTTACTCACACTACACCCTGTGCTTTAAGTATAAGCTGGGAAGAACATATGGAATAGCAGGCTGGCTATTTACAGCAATCTTTAGGGCTTTCATCTTGTTCAGAGAAGTCCCAGGACAGAAATCACATTCAGTGAAGCCATTGAGTCACTGAAATACGACAGATGGAAACAAACTTAAGGCTGTGTGGACTGTTGCTACTCTAACACAGCTTTCTGATGTTAGCCAGGAATCACGTTCTATAAGAATGAGCATCTCTCCCAAATTCTAGCTAGTGGATAATACCTGCTCTTGTACATTCCTAGAAGAGAACAAATGGACAAACATATCCAAAAGCAGGAGGAAGCAGGCTGTACTGAGAGAAGATTGGCATCCCTAAAGCATGACCTTATTGTAAATAAAAGGATACACAATCTTGTCTTTGCTACTCTTGACTATAAATATTTTTAAAGTATAATTGCTCTTTATGAAAGAGCTGCACCATAAAGGCAGAGAAGATATATCAGAAAATCTCTGCCTTCACAGTTGCTGCCTACCATGCTGGCTTTCCAAATGCTGCAAAACAGTGCCCGGTCCCTACAGACTTGAAGGTGTCCTGGCAATAGACTACCTGAACGAACAACTACCTTCTCCATACCAGCACCCAAAAATAATGATCCTCAAGCCAAGTTGGTTGCAAGTCAGGCACAAACAGTTCTACCTTAGGATGTCGCAAGCCTTGTATTTTTATCTGAGATGGGTGTTAAAAAGGGCTCTTGAAAAAAGAGAGGGGTAATGATCTGTGGAACAACATCATCACTTCCTGGCACTGAAATACTAACCATAGTACTTCTTACCTGCAGTTCATGGTATTTTGATTGATTCGGACTGAAAGATGATACATGCCCAGCTCCTCTCAAACCCTCCGATCATTGCAATTCTTTAGTGGTCCTACTGAAGGGGTGTCACAAGTAAAGGGGAATTTCCTGACAATGAGAAAAGCTTCCTTAGACCATGTGCAATTTATTGGTCTAGTCGAGTCAATTACAGCCATGACTCACCTTCCAAAATATGCAACTTGGCTTTCATTATTTGCACTCGCACAGAGCCAAGCGGTTGGACCCATCCTTAAGTTTCAGTCATCTCCTTGTGCTGTTCTTGAGCAAGTGATAGTTCAGTGATTGCAGAATGGAAAGGAGGAAGATTTCTTTAATTACTTTTCTGTACCTCAGTGTCTTGGATTCTATCTGTGTTGAGTTGAAAACGTTTCCCATAAACTGTGCAAATATGTGTCTTTTTGCAGCTACTCTTTGACATTTGCAAAGACAGTTCCCTTCTCCCATCTCTAACTTGACAGTCAATCAAGAGCAAAGTAACAAGGGAGAACAAGATAGAGGATGCAGACAGAAAAGGAATCCAGGAAAAGAAAGAAAGAAAGAAAACAAAGGGAAGGATGGAACGTAAATACCCTTGGAAAAAGAAGATAAAATATTTGTTCACAAAGAAAGAGAAGGAAGAGAAGAAGGGAAAGGAAGAGAGGGAAGGAAGGGAAAAAGAAGGAAAGGAGGAGAAGAAAAGAAGAGCTGTTTTCTATCAACTTTTCCCCACCCTCCCCCATCATGGTCTATCTCCATCTTTGCTATGCCTCCCTGACTTGCAGATGATTAGCTTCCTGACCCACAGGCTTCAGCTCCCCCTTTCTATTGAACAAAAATTTGTAAAAGGAGTTCAAGACATACACGTGCACGCTCACTGTGCAAAGCACGGTTAGAACAAGTGCAGTGTGACAGTTCACATGAAGCACAGGAGACCTGCAGGAAATGTCTGCTGATCTCTCCTGCAGCTCCCCGTGGAGATTTTGCCATGGTTACTTACTGCTTGCAGGTGTCAGCAGGCTCCCTTGCTCTGCGCTCTCACTGAAGTCAAGGAGATCTGAATCCAAGAGCAGAAGTTGGCCTTTAAGATTCACTTCCATGTAGCATATGCTGCAACATTGTACACCAAGAAATGTAACCAAGAAGAACCTTGGTATTTACAGTATGCTAAAATTTAACTGTTGCTGTGGCCTTCAGAAGCCTATGGGACACATCCAAAAGACAGCCCATGTTTTACTTCATCTGACACAAGGTAGGACTCTTGTTGCTGAAGAATGAATGGCGCAGTATGAATTAGGATTCAGGTTCTGGTCCTGTGCCCATTTTCAAGCTGAGATGGCCAATGTTGACTAATTTCCTTAATGAGCAGGGCAGAAGAGGTAAAAATCGAGTGGAGTGAGGGATAGCGATCTATTTTTTAACTTCTTATTATTGGTAGCAATTTCAGAGAATAGGCTGTTATTTTAAGAGACATTTAGCAATTAGCAATGAGTTTTCCTTCAGACATCCCGAGGGATGAAGTTGAAGGTGATGCAGCGAATACAGGAGCTTGCTACAAAAATACGTGGGTCTGTCACACCTTTAAAAAGATTCTGCCTGTAAAATTACTTATGCAGCAAACAACTTAGAGCACATCTGATGAATTTTAAATGACAGCAATATACTGTCAGGTATGTCCATTGTTTCTCTGGCTGAGAATTCCTTCTTTTAGGAGGCTGACGCTCCCAAAACAGTGAGGTAATCTTCATCACAGAGAGGAGGTGTGAGAGTCTGCTCAAATCTGGATGTGTGTCAGTCTCCGCATTTCCAGGTGAGTGATATTACCCACATGCCTGTGTCCATACATTTCCCTGCCTGTAATGCAATTTTGCAGTAGCAGGATTAGAACAGATTGCTGGCATTATGGCAGCAAAGATATTGTTGGGAGTAGCTTGGCAACACTTGTAGGTGTTGTGACACTGGCTCCTTGCTCAAGGGCAAGGACAGGGAGGGGGTGCTGGATGCAGAACAGTAAGAAAAATGATGTCAGAAAAGTTCAGAAGATGAAAGTAGTGACAGTAAATAAGTCTGAAATTATTTTAGGTTTACATACTTTAAGTCCTCTGTGACTGAAAACACAGCCAAGAATTGCTTCAGCAATATTCCTTCATAAATCTGCATAATAATCTCTCAGAGGGGCTTTGGTGAAATTACAAGTATTCATTTACTAAATTGGGTTCAGTGTCTGTATCATACGCTGTATGAATATTCAGTGCCATGAATTCACTCAAACTACACTGAAGTTAGCACAGTCCGCAAACTATCTCAGACGATAGCCCAAGTAGAAAAGTCTTTCTTTAAATATATATATATATCCACTAGAATTTGATAAAAAGAACTTTTAGCAACTAAGAATGATGGCAATAAAATCACAGGTTTTTGATTTTTTGGTGGAGTTTCTCATCTTGTATCTCTGAATTCAACAACAGCATGTTCTTGCTAGAAAGGAACCAAATATAATGATAACTGCCATTCAGATACAAGAAAAGTCTGTTATTGGCAGACTAATAATAGAAATATTGGATATATGGTACTGTGACCTTCATATAGAAAACTGTGTCTACTCTTACAGTGCTGATAAAACTTTACAGAGAGTCAGAGTCAAATTTAGTGCGTGCTGTGAGCTGAGACAAACTGTAATCTTGTACAACTCTCCTGTGCTTCATATGCTCAAATATATGAAAAAAATGCATAAAGTAAATCCTGGATAGCAAACATCTGCAGGGTAAAAATTTTCACCATAGTGTGAAACAGGTTGAACATAGATCACCTGTGTTGTCACTGAGCCTTCTCAACCCATTCTATTTACTCTTGGTCCGGTCTTGTCTGGGTAACCCAAGCTGTCCATCCCTTCCCACCAAGGTAGTTGCTTGAACATAAGACGCTGTAGCAATTCTAAAAAAAAAAAAAAAAAGTAGTAGTAATTCACATCTTGGATATTTCTGAAGCTGTCTGTAGCAAATAAAGACAGAACCAAAAAGTCACTCATGACACATTGAAGCTGGAGCACTTCAAAGGCAAATGTTCAGTGGGAGGTGTCTGTGGGCCAAAAGGCACAAAACTGAAATGCAGTGCAGAAAGGTAATTATGACAAACCTCTCCAGTTCATAGTTTTTTCGTTTATGTCAAATAGGAGTTCAAGCCTATTTCCTTTGAAGGTGTAACTATCCAATGCAGTATTTTTGTCCACAGCTATTGCAGACAGAACAGTAGATTTCCTAATTTTCTTCGTTGTCTTTTTCCACTTGGCTGCTTTCCAGGTTTTGTTTACTTCCCCATCTCACATGACACTGTGTTACTCATATTCCCAATTCACCTAGAGTTTAAAGGGAGGTGAATTCAATGTTCAGTTCACAAATCTGCACTACTTCTAGGGATTGTGCTTGCATCCTTTCCAAGGTAAATTCTGATTTATACTGAAATTGTGCCTCTCTCCCTTGATATTTCTGCTGGTTATTCTTCACCTTCATTCATTTCATGGCTTGCATTTTCACTAAAGGTCCAATTTTTGAGATCAAATGGAAGGATGTTTCAAAGGAGTATACACTTCATTATTATAGGATATTTAATCTCTGTATCACTTTCTCCACTAGGGGATTCTGATGCTATGACTGCCATTCTTTCCAACTTTTCTAGCAATAAATTCATTTCTATGAAGTCAAGGTGTATCTGTAGTACACTGACATGTACATATTCGCTCAATGCATTCTGCTAGCAGAATGAACAAACACCACAAAAAGGGGTGCAAAAGTCACACTGATGAAGTATGAGGAAGTTGCTCCAAACTAAAAAGAAAATTGTCTGATCGCATCAAAGTCCTGTATTGGTCTTAAAGTATTTTGTGAATCACGTAAGCAAGTGAACTTCCAGCTGTCTTTATAGTTCACCTGGAACAAGAATCAGGAGGAGCTGGAGAGCAGGATCAGCTCAGAGCTGTGATTTGGAGCACAGAACTATTCTGAAGACTAAGTTTGTTCTTCCACTGAGCAAGGCTGAAATGGCAGAAGTTGGGCTCCAAGTCTACTACAGAGGAGGAATTAAGTTAAAAAAAAATGGAGTTTATTACCTGGAAGTTTTCTTAAACTGTTGCCAGCCACACACACAAAGAACAAAATCATGGAGTCAGGAAGGCAGCTAGTATGGCCGATTTCTTCTGTTACTGAACAACAATCACTGCTTGCTGGGAGAATTAAGTTGAGCCAGCGACCAAACCTTTAGAGAAAAGCAGTCACATGGGGGAAAATGTTAATTAGTAAAAAAAAAAAAGCACACACTGATGACTTAGATTTTGAATAATCAGTTTTTATCACTGAGTGTCATCCCCAGAATTGCTCATCTATTGTTGCACAATGTCAGGAGAATCCCTTAAATTCATGTTGTTTGTAAAGCTGCTGAACAGTTAATGGAGATTTCAGCATCCAGAAGCTGTTTCAGAGAAAGACAGAGTCTAACATTTCCTTGCAGGATACTGATCACCAAATCACTTTGTGCACCTTCTACTTCCTCCTTCTCTCTTTTCTCTTTCTCCTTGTTTTGTTTTTCTTTGTAAAGATATACAGGGACTTTAAATGGGATAAATGAAGTTGGTCATCCCACTATTTCGTTAAACTATTCTGGGATTTTGTTACAATTTAAGACGACATCAAGCTTTCAGGTTCTTTCCTCTGAATGTCTCTACCTGAGTCACTTTCTCAGTGTCTTTACTTGTGAAGTAAGTATTAAAAAACCTTGAGGAACAGATACTTAGCAATGGTTGCTCTTCATTCATAGATAAATCCACTATCTTTTATCAAAGTGATGCCATATCATCATAGGGTATAAAACACATTCTTGTATTCAAGAAGCAGAAACTGTAAGAATCATTTAGATTATGCATCGTGATACTACGCTGTTGCTTAGCAAGGGCATTGATTATGCTCAAGAGAAGTTTGAGGAACAGCTTTCTTTAGTCTCAAATTTGCGACAGTTCCCCTTTGAGTTGGCAGTACATTAATGGAAATGGAAACTTGCCTCATTCTAAATGTCAGAATAATAGAGCACCAAAAACAATTCAGTCATGTCTTTCAAACCACGCACATATGGTTCAGCACCAAATGTCACTATTCTTCCTCACTTCCTTTCCATTTGTCACCATCTCTGCTGATTATCATTGTTTGGGTTAAAACTTTGATGAAAGCTCAGTGGGAAGCTCACCTTGACAGCAATTAGGAAGCTTTTATCGGATATTTTACTGCTTGATGCATGCCTAATACAGTATTTTCAGATGCAATAGATTTTAAATACTTACATACTCCAGAGAAGTTTGATCAGTTTCTTCCCTTTGAGAGTTTCTTTCTGCCACCATGCCTACTCCTGTAGAAGTTACACCAGCAATACCCAGTGAAGTGGAAAGAACTTTTTTTCCTGCATTTTCTCTTGCCAAATACAGAAAATCCGCATAATAGCTAGCAATTATTCAGCTGTAAGATCAGCTTCTTGAAATCATAGAACTGCTCAGGTCAGAAACAACCTTGAAGAACATCAACTCCAATCACAACTTGCCATTCTCTAACAACCCACACCAAAATCATGTCCCTGAGCACACATCCAAGCAGCTTTTAAAATATATCCAAGGAGAAATGTTTTGCACCCTTATAAATGCTGAGATGTTTAACACCAAAACAGTTTTCCTTAAGAACGTACATTCTTATATCTCCTGTCTCTTTAAGCAGTGACCTTTTGTGACTTAAAATGTTAACTCAGGTTATTGTTATTACAACAGTTATTGTAATGTCAAATGCTAGTTGCTTTCTGTACATATAAGATAGTTTTCCATACCCTAAGAGCTTTCAGTCTTGAGCTAGATGTAAAGCAACAGCTAAGACAGACAAAAGGTAGGGGAAATAAAGAAGATGCACAAGCCAGAGTTACAAATACAGCATGTAAAAACTATGTTAAGAGACTGATAATTCCTGACAAAAAAGTCAAGTATTCTAGAACTGCAAAACACCCCAAATATGCAGCATCTGACCACATGATTACACGTTGCTTTTTGTTTTTCCTTTTTCTTCCCAAAGGATTTGGTCCTCATTCAATCAGCAGGATGCATCAATTTAATTATTTTTTTCTGTGGCAAAGTGCTGGAACGCATAAAAGTAATTGTCTCAGTACTCAATGATTTTTTTTTTTTTTTAATATGGGGTAAAGGAGATTCTTTTTCTTCTGTCTTCTTCCTGATAAACAAATACATAGAATAAATTCAACTAGAAACATATCTACCTTTATAGGTTTCTAAATGATTGAAGCTTCACCCATAGGTAAGGGAGAGAAAACAGTTGTATGATAGTGAATATCATTCTTGCCTCTGAACACTAACTATTCTCCTCTTCCCCCAGTGTTTAGAGCAGAATGAAGGATATCACTAGAGATTATTTTACTAATCCTTGCTTTTTCTTAGCTGCTTCTACCAGTGTGTTGCTGTAAGATTCAGAAAAGACAACTGATTTAAACAGGATTGAGCAAGTGCAGCAAACCTGCTTAGTGTGAGCTGCAGCTCTAAGCTCAAAATTGGTCTTTTCTGGATATCATACGCTTTGCTTTAAACTTCTATTAGGAGAGTTCATTTTCATTTTCCCTTTCATTTAGCTGTTCCCTTCTTTATCTGAGTCATGGCCTGAAAAAAACTGCACTGAAGAGCATACCAACGACTGTAGAAAAAACCTCTTGAATTCTTTCCTTTTCCACTCTTACTGATATATGTAAGGATCAGAGAACTTTACGCACGTCCATACCATGCACAAAACCTTTCAGTGGATGAGGAAAATGATAAAGCATTGCCTGCTGTTGTCCCAACGATGAAATGACATGATGGATGGAGTATGATGACAGTGAAAGTGTCATTCTTTATGTAGGGAGTAAGTGTATGAGAATGGGTAGGATGGGTGAGGGTAGGTAGGACTGGGTCAGCCAGCTGCCATGCTGCAATGTGATGTGCATACATTGAGGTGGCCAGGAAATTCCCTTCTGTGGAGGAAAGGCAGAGGAAGCAGTTATGATTAATATTTGCACAGACATTTTGTGAAGACAACCAACCAATATAAGGTCAATTGAGTGAGATAATTTATAATTAAGTAACGTACAGCCTCACTGCATTTCCATCCTTCAGTATGAATAATTTAGAGTAGCTGAGAAGTCCAGCCATTGTTCTCAAAACAAAAAGCAGCACTGTAGAAATATTCTTATCATATATTTCTGTTAATGTGGCCAATTGAACAGAGATTGTGTGTGATCTAATTATGTTAATCCATTATTAAAAACAGCAATTTGTTCCATTTAAAAAAAAATGTGTGAAGAATTGGTTCCCAACAACCATTTTTAATGACTACTCCCTTTCGTAAGCTAACGTATGTTAATTTGTTTCTTTGTTTCAAATATTAGAAGAATTATAAATACAATAAAAAACACAGTATTCCTCTTAGAATTCAGTAGATAAGCACTCCTTCCTAGCCTAAGACTCCCTTTATACAGAGAGGTAGGTCTTTTACATAATTTGAACCTACGTATTCCTTTAGCAATACAAGAGTCTCTGTTAGAAATAAAAATAAAGCTGAAATAGTATGTACTAAGTTGCTTAAAATTCAGTGAGAGGTCTATTACATTCTGCTGAGAAGGACTGTCAGAAGCTACAGCACATGCATCACAAAGCTTTTAAACAAAACATCTTTCACTTCTCCAGGAAACAAATATCAGCTGTACTTGGAAAATTATTTAACAAAGCTGTTTCGTGGCCACTGCATATAAGCACTTATTGCTGTGTAAATTAAAATAGCTAATCAATTAATACAGAAGTAATTTTATTACTAAATGGATAGAGGAGGTACAAAAAGCCCTAATTAAAAGCATTGTCTGCTCTGCTTCACACTAATGATTCTCTAAGAACCAATGTTATTTTTGAATTAGCTTAATCACAAAGGAATTAAAGAGAACAAAATTATTTGTATGAAAATAATGCTCTAAATGCACAGAGGCGAGACAGACAAAGAATCCAGAATCATTTCTATCTCTGATCAACTGGCTTGTCTAATCCATTTTACTGTGGATAGTTGGCCTGACATGACTTCAGATTAGTTTAATAGGGATTAAAGTGGCATGAAGTGTATATAAACCTATGAATTTGCAACTACAAACATGTTTAGGAATTCATTTATCTTTAAGGGCAGGAGGAAGGAATAAAGTTCAAAGTAAAATCTGGGTACATTTGTAAACACAGATAATTCTGTGGGAAACTTGGAAAACAACTGAAAACCATGCAATTTCAACAGTGAATCCTGATGACTTTAGTCAGTTTCTTTGCACAAAAAAAGCAATTACTAAAGTCAAACAAGAAAGACCCCAAGATGCGATACGTGGAGAATTGATGTAGAAGTCCTTAGGTAAACCTACAAGTCCTGTTGATTACTGCCCAAATAAAGCAGACCTCTGGCATTCAGTTTCCTGAGCTGGCATGTCAAGCGCATAATGTCTATAGAGCTAGAGCTGCCAAGAGAAAGGGACCAGAGACAGCCAAATTATGATATCACACCAATAAAACCTCATCGTAGTGACATACATAAAACACTCTGTAAATTGCTTTTTGTAACTTCTAATTTATTAAGAGCTTCTGAACTATGTTTTGATTCTGTGACATGTTTTCATTTACCTCTCATATCCTTCATTAATTTGTTTCCTGTTTGAGAAATAATACCACATTTTTGGCAGTTCGAGACTGCTGAAAAAATATATCATACCCTACATGAGGTAGCTTGCCAGAGAATCAGGAGCGTGTGATATTTTAAATGGCTAGGCTGAATTACAGTGAATTATTTGACTATTCGGTTTGCCTATTATCAAGGTTGAGTCATGAGTGCTGTCTGTCATGCTGCTGTTTGCTTATCCCTACACACATTCAAAACATCTTCTGCAGCTGAAACACGGGGCCTTGAAAAGTTTAGAAGTTCTGGATGGCGGTGGATGCACCTACTTGCTGGGTGTTTGGCAGTGCTAAATAAAAGAGATCAGACACTGTTTTCTCCAGCACTTCTGGGAATGGTGAGGATGTACTTTATGCAGACATTATTGTCCTGCTCCCTTCCCAGTCACTGTGTTTCTTTGCCTTAAGTTTATAAAGGTGACTCAGTCATTCTGGGAATGGGACCAAAGGCATAAATGGACAGAGTAAAGCATTAAAATGACTACAATATAGCATCATATAGCACTGACCCCTAAGGTAACCATCCATAAGTCAATTTCAGAAGCATTTATGCTTCTTTAACAGCCTGCTTGGCACACTTCTCCAGTATGCCTGCACAAATTTTGGTTAAGCCACAAGCTGCAAAGTTCCTCAAGTAAGCCTGAACTCCCTCCCCAACACCCACCTTTACTCTCATCCCTCAAAACTTCCTTTGCATATTCTGCGACTGACTTTATGATCCACAAACTAAAAGGCAGTCCTGTATCAAAGCAGCAGGTCTGTAACTTTGAAGAGTAAAGCAGTGAAATCTTATTACAGGTGGAGTATGCAACTATTGAAAATATATAGCACATATGGAACCCTACAGTTATTGTACCCTTCCACACCTTTGCTAATACAATGTCTTAGTATTATCTGTGACCTAAGTCATAAAGTTTCTTTGAATATCTTCAAGAAATTGAAACGATAAAGAAATGCTTTTAAAAGTAAGGAAATCAGGTACAAAGCCGTCTGCAGTTTCATTTTCTTTCCATTCTGCCAACGCATAGAGCAATGGTCAAGAAGAGTGTTACTACACTTTTGAAGATGACCTTTCAAGGCCAGGCGATTCAGGTGATATTAATATTTCTGAGCTAAAACCCACAGGAGCAGAAGGGAGTGTTTGAATTGAGGGACACTGAGCCTAAAGCAATTTTTGGAACGGATTGATGGGAAGGGCTTAAATGCGCTTGGGAAATATTTCCCACAGTTCGTGTGGCAGACAGGGAGGAAAGATCTTACAAAAGAAACAGGGGCCAAAGGTTTTGTGATGAAAACTGGGGCAGAGAAGAAAAGGCTTATTTTTGTTTCCTTCTGAGATATGGCTCGATTTTGACATGAAAAAATATCTGTTTCCTGCTGCGTAGGAAGTTCATACCATAAGATCAAAGAATACTGCATGTGTAACCACTGTTTCATATAGATTTTAAATACAGGCATCTGGAATCAAGAAAGTCAGACCTTTGTGCAATCAAGAAATGAACAAATGCTCAATGCTAAGCAATACTTACCAACAGGAAGAGCTGAAGCCTGGGTTCCACGTGTTCAAGAGTAACCCTAGGGAATCCTGAGGGCTGTGCTTCCACTGTGGTGGAATCTATCCTGGGATGCGCCACACTTCTGCTGAAATTCAGTGATGACAGTGTCACTACAATTCCGTGGTTTTGTGCTTCTGTTTACTAGAGGGTACAGTAAAACACATTTTAGTCAATCCTTTTCATCTTTCTCGTGCACGGGTGATGTTCACTTTTATACTAAAAGTAAAGATCATCTTCTAATTTCTTTTTTGGGATAAGCTGATGTATACTGAAAGAATTTTATTATTAAGTCCACCTCCAACAATCTACCAGAAAAAGGCAGTGCTTGCATGCTGTTCACTGGAGGACCAAAGCAGTCACTGGAAATGAAACCAAAAGAGAATTTGTGATCTCTCAAACACTAGTTTCACCTCTAAATACAAACCAGCTTGCTGCAGACTGAGAACTACTCCCCTAAAGCATAATGAATTTCATGCATATTAATTGTGCTGTGCAGGTACAGAGAGGTTATGATCTATAAGGGATATATCTATTAGATATGCATTCAAGAATCAAACCCTCTGGGGACCCAGTCAATTTCCTAGCAAATACATGCACCTTTCTGTGCACTGTTGTCCCGGGATTTGGAGCAGTTATTTTCCACATTGCTGTGTGACACCACTGAGAGTTGAGGCTGAAATTCGTGTGGATTTCTCACCTTCTGGTCCAGCTGCCTTCTCATCTGAGTCCCTATGGGCATTGCCAGGTGTTCTGGGAAAGGGTGTGAAAGAAAAAAAGGTAACTCGCTCCCCCTCTTTCCTCTTATTTTAGACTTCCAGTAATAAGGAGATTTACACACACCTCCTGAGAGACTTTTATTGCTAGTGGTTAGGTGTACTGCATGAATATATTTTCTTTTCTGAGTGCCTTCCATATATCAACAGATCTCTATGCGTACTGTGTGTATTTTACCTCCTTCAAATCTGCATTTTGTTAATTCTTTCCTGCTGTCAGAATAAGTAACAAAACACAGTTATGTTACTGTCTAGGAGGTTGTTCTCTTTCAGATATGGATATGAATTCTTGTTTGTGATTATTAACTCCACCAAGATCATTTGAACTTTTCTCCAATTGAGCTGACAGCATTTAGTGACAGGTGCTCCATACATGATTCTTCAAGGCTGAATCTGGGTCTCTCTCACTTTCTTTTCACATTTTCTCCTGACATTTGAACTCACGTAGATACTCATTCCATATCTTAGTGTTTGAAACATTTTTATTTTTTTTTGCTGCTAGAGTTATTCTCTATGAATATAGTTACTTTTTACCAAGAAGTCAATGAGCACTTGCTAACCATGTTATGATTGTTTTGATTATTATTTGTTGTGTGAATGATCGCTGAAGTCATGTGATTCTTTAAACTTGATGGTACAATTGAAATAGCTATGTAAGCAATCACATTTATGATTTTTTATTATTTACCTACATTTGTGCTGTGGTACTTTGTGGCAAATGAAACTTTTTATTTCCAAAACAGTCAAGTATTTCAAAGTATTCCCAAATAGTCTATCACATCTCTCATATGCATGGATAGCCACAGGATTGAATTTTGAACTAGCCTCAATAGGGATGACTTCTGATCACAGAGATAGCAGTTACTGTTTTACTTCAACCACTTGAAAATGTCATTGCATTTACCTCACTGAAATGTAAAGTAAGCAGCATTAATTATGGTAACAAAGTATTATAAGCATAAGAACTAGGGAAGGAAAAATGATGCATAGCATGCTAGATTTTGAAAGTAAGTTTTCAGAATACTTCCTAGAAATGCTGCCCATTTTCTAAACTTTTCTTATCACTCTTGTCTCTGTTGAAGCTGCCATTTTACTTACAATCCACAGTAGGAAGTCTGGATTTATTATGCAGAACAGGACAGGGAGAAGGCAGAAACCTATTCACATTCATAGGAAACAATAGACTTTGAAAGGCTAAGCTCTGCTTTGAAAAGTTGCAATGTAAAGTGACACTTTGTTCCCAGTTTTTCTTCCTTATCTGCATTCAAAGTTACATCTGCTGCTCTTGGTGCCAAAAATAAATTTTATTGACCTTTAAACTTACTAACCCTGAAGAGCAACACAGACCAAGAGGCTGAGCTGCATCTTACTCCTCCCAGTTCACTATTATGAGGATAACTCCCTACACATACCACTCAAAAGGACAGCTGACCACATCTGTGGATACCAACCAATGGCAACTGGAATGTTCAGAGTTCGCTGAGGGTGTACTCTGAAGAAAACAGCTGCTCAAAAACAACTGAAAAAATAATCTAACACAGTAGCTCCTTGGTAAAGGTGATAATGGGCAGGAAGGAATGAGGTGCTGTATGACTTCAGTTTTAACTGTAGCTTGTCAAGTCCAGAATTGAAAACAAAGGTGTTTCCTCTTTTCCTTTTCTTCCCCCCCCCTGCAAATTGAGCAGATTTATTATGAAAGTTCCTCAAATTATTCTTCTATATACATACTACATAGGTTGCTCTAAAAGTAATGCCTCCTATTTATTTCCACGGAAACAACACTGCTCACTTCTGCTGTTTGGTCTCCATCAGTGTAGAGCAAGCACCAATGAATGTGAATGGGTGCAATTTCTTTTTTGCAGGGAGGAATTCAGTGATGCACCTTTGTTTTATATATGCTTCTCTGTCAGATGTCATTTTGTCAAGCTGCCCCACTGCTGCCAACTGTTGCACAGTAACAACACATAATGAAATATTAGTAGGAAGGTTCAGCCACTATCATACCACCACCATCAGCTCCCTGACACTGTGGGCCAACTTAACAACATAGAAGGCATTATTTCCATAGTAGCCCTGCCATATAGCCTCCTCTCCTGTCCCCAGCATAACTCTCTTTTACTTTCCAATATTTAAGTTATAAAGGTTTGCTGTGCTCCAGGGTAAGGGTAGACACTGAGAAGCGTCATGGATGAGTCAACGCTTTGGGTAGAACAGAGCTTTCAGATAAGACCTTCAGAAAAACAGAAAGAAAAGAATCACCCTTATTTTCTCTCTTTTCAATTGTAACTGTACTAGAAAAAGCCATGAAAACTAGTTATCATGCAAGGACAAAGATATTTTACGACAGAAAATATTTTCCATACTGTTTATCTACATTTGGCTATATGTACACAATAACAGAACAGTAAGTTAAGCCCAGCTAATCATCTCCATATGGGGATTTTGTAAGTTTCCTTGTTCTAAGCTGTTACAACTCCCCACACTTCCAGTATAGAGAGCATGATTAACTTATTGCAACTTCATATGCCTTCTTGATGTAACTGAAGACAGCTGGTGGTTGCCCTAAATTGTATCATAGAAAAGCTCCGTGCTTTGCTGTGAGAGCCTCTACCACTGTCAAAGCACCGTCATCCTGACTCATGAGTCATTCTTTCTTCCATCCTCCTGGGGAGGAGAGGTCTCACTGTGTGAGTATTTGCCCTAGAACTCAAAGGCTGAACAAAAAATCAATATATCCTCAGAACTGGGTGAGATTTGAAACTGAGATGCTTTGCTGCCCTTTTCCCTCAGATGAGGGGGTGGGTTTGTACTTGCAACCATCTTGCCAAGCCTCAGGCTCCCAGATGGCTAATACTGCTGCTTGTTGTGGCACTGACTACAACCTTGCTCAAACAGGCTTCATTGACTCGTCAGCAACTGAATTGTCATGGAGCATTGGCTTTCTCTTGGCTGTGGCTTTTTTTTTTTTTTTTTGGTTTGCTTAGGGATTTTGTTGCTGTTCCCTGCTCAATTTTCACTCTCCTGTTATGCTTTCTGCACTTTGATCATTGTGAGTGGAGTTCTCCATAATAACATAACATGATGAAGTAGTAGCCCAATATACGTATTGTATGTATGTATCTTCTATACCTGGCAAATATATGCAATTTTTATTTTTCTGTTTGTTATAACACTCTAGAATAAAGTTACAAAGATCAAAAAGAATGTGAAAGAAGCTGTGGTACACCATGTACAGAGCTCCTAAGCAGACAGGGATACTTTATCTTCTTAGTGCACATTATTTCTTAAAAATTAACTGTAAAAAATAAGAGATTCCTTCAGTGATCCTTAGAAGTCTTGTTTTCTACACATCATCACCATAAAAGAAACCCATCTGATTCACGTTCAGCTCTGGCTGAACATGACTACTGTATTGGTTATGTAGAAGAATAGAAGATACAGACCAGGAGTTTAATTATAAGCATAGTACATTAAAGATGCATCTGTGACTTTTATGAGCAAATTGGCCATGTATGTCTTCAGAAGACAAGCCACAAGGAAGCATGACTAATTTGTATGTCAGCTTTTTCTTCATGACTCTTTAAGTAGGTTTAAGTAGTTTTTTTTTAAAAAAAACAAATAAAAGATTTCTTGTAGAAGTGAACACATAAGATATTTGAATGGCACAAAACACAATAATTAAGACAACATAATTTGAAAGGATATAAGGACAACCAGTTTTAACTATCATATTGTTGTATAATGCTGTAATGTAATAGGAAGTACAGCAATAATAGCAGGGCAGTAAAGTCCTAAGCTACAGCAAATAAGGATAAACACAAAAATAGCAACCCTAGACACTGAAACAAAGGAAGAAAATTTGCTTACCTTTGGCAGATCTCAAGTAGGGAAGGATCTCCAGCAAAACATCCCTACATTCATTGCCAAACTTAAATGAGATCTGGAATTATGGATCCTGGCTCCACCCCTTTTGTTCACTCAGGTACATTGCGTGCACCTGAGCTTCCCTAGGTTGGCCCTGCCTTCCCACCAGGTGCTCCATCACTGTTTCAAACTGTGACTTAGCATTTACCCTATATGCTGTCTTATAGATTGCCTTTTACAGACAGTTAAAATAGTTGGTGTTATCAGCATTTCAGTCTGAAGAGATTAGGGCTATCATTTGTAACGTGAACCAAAAACCTTGTGGAATTAAATAAATAGGTTTTCTTTTCTAGAAACTAGTGATCATAGTAAGAATAGCAAATATTCAGTCCATTTGTGGAAAACTAGAGAAGGATATTGCTTATAGATACTAAAGCGTCCTACTGTACATTGGAAAATTCCTTTTCCTCTCTTATTCCTTCTTCAAACTTTGAAACCATTGCTTTCATTGCTGGATATAATTGAACTGAATATAAGTGATACAGTGATGTTATTGAAGGTAGTTCAGCCCAGTCAAGTTTGGTTATCTAAATTCTCCTTTGGTTAAAGCAGATAGAGTAAACTGTCTTTGCAGCCAACAGGGAGAAGATGGTGTTTTTTTGGTTACATGCAATCTCATCTACTTTAGGTGGCTGCTTTGAGATGAGATGAATAGTGCTCTAGACTCTCGTCTGTGTTGCCTATATGCCATTCAATTGAAAGGGGAGACTAGCTCTTCTATAGCTATGTAGATGAGTCTCTCTTCTTTTTATTCTAAGTAGCATAATTAGTTGATGCTTGTTGGATCCTTTCAACCTGAAAATGCTGTGTATGGGCTTGTTCTACTCCTCCCCTGTGAGGATGCATGCAAAATATGTATGGATTTAACAATTATTTGTTTTGAGGGAACAATTAAGAAAAAATGCATGGGATGTCCAATGCACTGGAAGAAGCTGAGTTAAAGAAGTTTTAGAATATTTTGTATATGCAATCTCCATATATGCATCGTCAACAGCTTATTACAGTTTTTCCATACCGTGAGATCTAGGCTTTCTGCCAGAGTACTCTTCGGGTAT